TAGGTGTACAGGTATGATAAACGACGCAAACGAATGCAGGCAGACATATGTATCAGTACAAATGCATACTACTACTACTACTACTACTACTCCTACTCCTACTCCTACTCCTACTCCTACTGCTACTCCTACTGCTACTCCTACTGCTACTACTACTACTGCTACTACTGCTACTACTGCTACTACTGCCACCACTGCTACTACTACTACTACTACTACTACTACTACTACTCTACTACTACTACTACTGCTAATACTGCTACTACTGCTACTACTGCTACTACTACTACTACTACTACTACTACTACTACTACTACAACTACGACGACCACTACTACTACTGCTACTACTACTACTATATCTGCTACTATATCTGCTACTACTACTACTACTACTACTACTACTACTACTACTATATCGACTATATCTGCTACTATATCTGCTACTACTTCTTCTTCTGGGGCTGCACCAAGGACTCTTCCTCCGACGACTGCTACTGCGGACCAAACCCACCTCGGTCTGGCTGCAGCGTTGGTCGGAGGCCAAACGAGCAGACCTCCAAAACAGCACTGGAACCTCACTAGAACCTGCCCTACGGTTCAGGGATTCCTATGTCCCATTGCCCCCCATTGCCCATCGGATGTTTCGAGGCTGCCGAGGCACTGCTCTGTCTGCAACAATTCCTGCATGCGAGGGACATCTGATTCTCTGCACTGCTGTGACTGCTGCGATGGCACAAATCTGCTCAAGGCTCACCATTCAGCAGTACACACCAGAATTGCCGTTCAAGCTGTGAGCATGTAAACCCGAGCGCATGCATTTGAGGCTGAAAGCAGTCCTGCAGCTGCCGCAGATCCTCGGAAAGTCGGAATCCACGACTGGACTACAGAAAGCTCTCACTGTAACCTCTGAAGATCTTGGATACTCCTTTGTTCTAGTTGACAAGCTGAAAGGAGCAAGCAGCCAAGCCTGCCGTAAGACTAGGTTAGTCGCAGTTTGCACTGTAGCATCCCCGCCGGGCCTCTTTTCGGTCTGCCAGCAGCTTTTCCTCTGCATGAGTGAAGGAAAAGGAGGCAGCTGCAGAAGCAAAAGGGGGACCCCTCGATTTGGCGCCCGACAGCTTCTTTTCGAAGTGCTTCGGCCTCCTGCAAAGCGGTGAAGGCATTGCGTTCAAGCTCCCCAATGCCCAACCACCTCGAGCCGCTGCTGGCTCCCTTGGAGTTGCCCGAGCCTCGCGAGGGGCTGGGCTGCAAGACTGCCACAAATGCGGTTCTCTCTGGAAAAGGCTGCGAAGCGAGACTCGCCTCTTTTCTCCTTCCAGCCGCAGCCTCACAACAGACAGCTGTAGTGGCCAGACAAGTTGCGGGGTCGTTCCCGGGATCTGAACACACACATGGCTGCGCAAGCTGGACGAAGACACCAGCCTCCTTTCCTCATCACGCTCTTTTTGAAGCTCGCGCTGCTGAGCCTTCGGATTGAGATGATAACTGAATAAGCGTGCACATACCCAGCGTCCAAAAATTTGGGGCACTGCTGCCGCCGTGCTCGAACTAGCAGTGTGTCTTGCTGGGCTAATGCGTCCGCAAGAGGTCGCCAGGTTTCCCTCCCCGAGCCTCTGCTCGCCGCATCTCCTCACAGCCCGCACACATCCCGCATCGCTCGGTGAGGCTCTGACAGGTCCCCTCTCCGTGTCCTCACCGCGACGCGCAGCCTCGGCCTGGGTGCTCCGGAGCTCCTCCCGAAGTTGGGGGACGTGCCCAGGAACAAGGCCATAGGAGAGCACCGCAGCTAAGCCTGTTGTGCTGCGTAGCTTGGGGCTTGCGACGGATGTCAATGTGGGACTTTACCAAATTCAAGACCAAGACATTGACATCAGCAGATTTCGATCTGGGATTGTCAGCACCGGAACAGGGAAAGGTCCCGAGCTGTTGATGATGACACGGCCCGGACGCTCACACAGACTGAGATCCATAGCGCATTCAAACCCAGGCATGTTCTCGTTCGCACGCAAGAGCATGAAAGTCAGTCAGATTATGCATCCGCAGCGCGGCTCCTGCTGCAGGGCCACATGCTGCGCGTTCGCCTCACGGATCACGACTTGGGGGGGCTGCCACACTGGCGATTCGCAAAAATGTACAAAGACTCAAATGGTCATATTGCTGCAGTTGTTTGTGCGTCCTTACCAGCTTCGTTTATGGTTTCACAGTTGCCGTTGCTTCAAACTCTCAATCTTGCTGATGGCCTAGTCATCTTTGCAGTCGAAGGGCCTTCGTGGTGTGCATACATCACCATCATCACTATCACCAGCACCACCAACATCACCATCATACCATCGTCGTATCATCACCATCATCATCCACATAGACCTACTTGCTGTAGTTGTCCAACCGGATATTGCAACTAGCGGCCAGCAACCGCGGCAACGGCAGCAGCATGGAAAGCACCAGCGGCATCGTGGTGGTCGTGGTGGTCGTGGTGGTCGTGGTGGTCGTGGTGGTCGTGGTGGTCGTGGTGGTCGTGGTGGTCGTGGTCGTGGTGGTCGTGGTGGTCGTGGTGGTCGTGGTGGTCGTGGTGGTCGTGGTCGTGGTGGTCGTGGTGGTCGTGGTCGTGGTGGTCGTGGTCGTGGTGGTCGTGGTGG